ATATTTACTTTAAATTATTGAGTGTGTTCAATACAGTGTAGTTATTGATAACTAAAACTATTAAAAATAATTTTTGGCCATAGAAATAAAGCTGAAATAAAATAAAATGTAAATATTAGGTGAAAAACTTAAGCTTAATTTTAAAACAAAATTAGAAATGTTAATGAAATGAACTAACTGAAAACTAAAGAAACCAACCAGGCGTTTTATTGTTAACTATAACTAAAATGAAAACTAAAACAATAAGAAAAACATTTGTTACTTGAAAATAAAATAAAATATAACTGACTTTATTTCAGCTAGTTGCTGAGGCAACATTTCTCATTTTCATTTAGTTTAACTTGAAATACTTGAAAAATCATATAGACATAAAAACTATATAGACATGTTTAAAAAATAATAATAAAAATTTGACAAAACAAAAAACATTTATAAAACTATAACTAAAATAAAAATGCTAACAGAAAATATAACAATAAAAATATATTCAAAATATGAATAAAAATAGAATCTAAATGATACTAAAATAACATTGGAACTAACTGGTAAAAAAATAAATGCGTGTAATTTTAAGTACTAAAATAGCAAACTAAAACTGAAATAAAAATGTATAAAAACTATATAGACATGTTTAAAAAAACTAATAGAACTTACAAAAAAAACCACAAAATTACTAAAACTTTAAAATTAGAATGATAACAGAAAATATAAAAATATCTTGAAAATAGTAATAAAAAGTATAATAGTATATCAATGATGCTAAAATTACACTGGAACTAACTGATATATAAAATAAATAAGATGAAGTACCAAAATTACTAGGACTAAAACTGAAATAAAATGAGCACAAAAGCGGTCTTAAGTCGCTGGGGTATATTTGTAGCAATAGCCAACAATACATTGTATGGGTCAAAATTATAGATTTTTCTTTTATGCCAAAAATCATTAGGATATTAAGTAAAGATCATGTTCCATGAAGATATTTTGTCAATTTCCTACTGTAAATATATTAAAACTTAATTTTTGATTAGTAATATGCATTGCTAAGAACTTCATTTGGACAACTTTAAAGATGATTTTCTCAATATTTAGATTTTTTGCACCCTCAGATTCCAGATTTTCAAATATTGTCCTATCCTAACAAACCATACATCAATTGAAAGCTTAAAAAATATTAAATGCAGTAACAGTAGTGCTGTGGAGTGATGATGTTGATGATGATAGCATTGACTGCTGAATCTTTGTATTGGGGTCATGATGATATTTCAGCATCTCTAACGCTGTGTGTGTTTGTGCAGATGCTGCTGTCTGATTTCTCTCACCATCATATTGAGATGGCCTGCACACTGCTGGAGACGTGTGGACGCTTTCTCTTCCGCTCCCCGGAATCTCACCTGCGCACGAGCGTCTTACTGGTCCGTCTTCACACAAACAGACACACAAGCATGCAAACCTGCAGCCGCCCTCTTCATGCTGTTGATCATGTGTGTGTTCACAGGAGCAAATGATGCGTAAGAAGCAGGCTCAGCATCTGGATGTGCGTTACGTGACGATGGTGGAGAACGCTTATTACTACTGCAACCCTCCGCCGATGGAGAAGACGGTGCGCAGGAAGAGGCCGCCGCTGCAGGAGTACATCCGCAAACTCCTCTACAAAGACCTGTCCAAGGTCACCACTGAGAAGGTGCGTCACGCATGCGGTGGACACAGCGGTACCGCATTTATTTTGTGGCCCACATCATGCATTTATTATCATTTGGGCCAAAAGAAGAGTGAATATTAGACAGTGTGATTTTAATTTTGCGTCAGTTTTGTCACTGCTGACATTTTGCAGTGTGTATGTGGTTTTGGTCCTATTAGCAGCGTGAAAATAAAACTTAAAATTGTGAATGAGTTATATACACAAAGCAAGCTTAATAATCACTGAAGCTGTCAATCGCTGTCAATCAATATACAATTATATGAAAAATATATAAAAAATACTATATATTAAAATTTGTATTATATACTAGTATTATGATTTTAATATATATATATATATATATTAAAATCATAATACTATTCTATGTATATTTCATAAACAAATTTTACGTATAGATAATAACTTAAATTAATTATAACATATAAGTAATTTAAATTATATTACAATATATAAAATAATATAGAAATACTGCAATAACTAATAGATTATGAAAATAAATATTGTAAATACTTACAAATACATTAAAAACGTAAATATATTTTAAAAATATTTTTTAAATATACGTTTTTTTATATATTATAAAAGCATCAAA